GTCACGCTTTTTTGTACATTTCTTAGCCGTCGTTGCACGGCTACGACGTGAAAGTGCCTAATTGGACGTTTGATACAGAAAAAATTGCCAACATTAGACGAATTGAACAAGATCGAATAAGCGCTATAAAGTTTGCAGCAGCGCGACTTAAGTGACGTTTTCGTAGCCGTCGCCGTCCGGTCGTTGCTTAAGCTCTCTAATATAGGTAGACTGTTACACGCTTCGTGGCGAAAATAAAAGGGAAAGCAAAAACCCACAGCAGTAAATGGTCACGAAGGAAAAAACGGACGCTAGCAAATTTTTATTTACCGCCAGAGCAGGTTTCCTGCCATTTTAAGCGCTTAGCAATTTCACGTAGCAAGGTAACCGAAGGGTTAAACTTTCCTTGTAAACAGTGCCTCAGTGAAGTATGGGGTGTTCACAAAAGCCCCGTTACCTCGGAGCGTATTAGATTTTCAGTAGTCTATTTTTACATCTCTTTTCCTGGGAAATCAGCTCTGTCCCTAAGTAACCTTATGTTCCAATTTGGCTGTTGGATTTTTAAAGAAAACCCAAGGTTGTTCAACAAAAGTTTATCTCTACTCTAAGGCTTAACGCGTGTTCTGGAAAGAAATCCACCCTTAATTATTTATAACAAATTATATTAAATTGTTAATAATTAATATGAAACAATAATAATAATAATATTAATAAATTATATGAAACAAATTATGTTGACAAATGTTCCCTGGGCTGGGGGGAGGGGGGGAGGAGGGTAAACACGCTTAGAACTGACTGAGTCATAATGTTTTTAAGACCATTGCTTCTCGTGAATCACATGTATACAAAAAAAAGCTCCGGAATTAAACTACCATTTATTTATCCTTGCAGAGAGTCAGGAGGCTGAAAACCCCTCTGATGCCAGGGAGAACCACCTTTAACGAGAAAATATATCATTTCTGGCAATTTTTTTTTGAAAACGGATGCAAGTGTGTGACTGGGACCTTAATTGTGCACGGTTTTCAAGACTGAAAGACGCTGTACAGATAAGAATCTCAGGCAGGAATTCCTTCAGTTGCGTGTATTTTAGGTCAAGATCAACGTTTTCTAAGTAATAGTTTTTACTTGCTAGTGAAAGAGGTTTAGATATTCCCTACTGAAGTTATGTTTGTTAGGTTAATAGGTTGATTAACCGTTAGTTCATTATTTGAAATATCTTCCTCCCCAGTTCAAAATATGAGTCATTTCTTATATTTCCATTCATGTCATTTTATTTGCATGGCATTGCTGATTGGTCGATGAGGAAGGCTATTAGGCTTATTGAGTCCATATAGAGTTACAGAATGCAGTACGGAAGTTTGCTATGGAAACAAGGGGAAAAGCAAAATTTAAAAACAAAAAGTAAAGTGGCTGACAGCCGGTTTACCTTGTCCGACGAAGTTGTTATTGACCAACAGAAACAAAAAGAAAAACACATTGGCTCCTTAAAAGTCGGAGAAAAAAGGTTTGATTTCTCGCTCTTTTCCTCATGGTTTTTTTTTTTTCAATCACTGTCCCAGTCCACTACAAGTTACAAAACTGTTCCAAAAGGAGAAAATCAAACGCGCGAGAATACGAGGAATGCGCAATGGAGTAGAGAAAGGATACATTTCCGTGTGCCATTCGCGCGCACGATATTTTTTCTTTTTCCACGCAGGTTTACGGCCCGCCGCATTGATAAAGTGGCTTCTTGATGATGGTTATCATTCATCATGCTGCTCTATTAAGAGTTTGCCACAATTCTAAGTAGCGTCACTATCTTTTCTTTGCTTTCGTAGTGAATGTATGTTTCGTGACAATTTTGTCTCTCAGAAGCTGCTTGACGTTTGTGCCAAGTCTCTAAATTATATTTTGTCTCCGTTGTTAATTGGTAGTGGCCCAAAAGTTTCATTGTCGATGGAACCTAAATACAAACTCCAATCAATCTGAATACTTTCTTTACTGCGGTACGGAATTCTCGTTTACGGATAGAATAGATGATCGGGTTACACAGTGTGCTGACAAAGAAAGTACAGGTTGTTGCAAGAACTACCTCCGCTGGAACATCGATTCCTGGAACGAACTGACGGCAAATGCCCATAAGCCAGGCTGGGAGATAGCACAGCAAGAACGCAGCGATGATGATAGTGACATCGACAGCTGCCTTGCGGTCGCTCAGCCTCCTCGATACGATCTCTTGCTGCTGAGGGCTTTGAGCATCAGCCACTTGGACTTCAATGGCGTTTATCTGCCTTCGCGCCGCCTTGTACACAGGCCCGTTCAGGAATACAATGACCACGAATGGCACAATAAACGTCGTGATCGGTAAAACGATCATGTTTCCTCTTGTGGAATCACTCTGCACAGCCCATCCCTGCTCGCAGAAGAACACCTCTGGGTTGTAAACGTACTTTCCCCAACCAAGGAATGGACCGATGGAAAGTGGAATCGGGATTATCCAGATAAGTGCCATAAATGCTACTCTGGTCTTTGTAATGGTGCCATCGTACGTCAAAGGCGACTTGACGATCGCTAGGTATCGATCATAAGACACTGCTAGCAAGTGAAGAACCGTGTTGATGTAGAAGTATCTCACAAAGAATGGGTTCAGATAACACATTGTTTGGCCATATAACCAATGTTCTTGCGCTATGCTTTCGATGCGGAATGAGTTGACGAGGACCAACAGCAGAAAGTCTGATAAAGCGAGACTTGCCAGTAAAATATGTCGCATCACATGAAATCTTGATTCAAGGATGATCGTCACTATGACCAATAAATTACCAGGAAGACCGATCGCGTCGAAAAGTGCGTGGAAGGCTGCTATTACTTGAGGAAAGCTCATGGTTGGAGTTGCGTACATACAAGTAACGTTATTTGCTTGAACGTTACGAGTAAAGCAACCAAAGTGAGTTAATTTTCTCAAATGTATGTACTTTTTACAGCTGATTTGAATATTTTCTTATACAATTTGCGTCATTTCTTTTCTTTAGCTGATTACGTGGAGGGAGGTTGGTCCCACACTGTAACTAAAACGCAGGGAGTAACATATGGAAAATCTTGTAAAATTCCTGAAAGCTTAGTTTCTGTTCTTTTTCACTTTTGTTTTCTTTAGAAAATATATATTTAGGGTTTTTTGGTTGTTTGGTTTTGTTTTTTAATCTCTTTGAAACAATGAAAATCATTTTTGAAGGAAGAAGAAACAGTGAAGAAATAATCTCTGATCACTGCAAAACAGCAATCGTTTTTTATAAGTAAAAACGTTCACGTCCCCCTGCGATCAGCTGAATATTTACTGACGAGCGCACCTTTAATTTTAGAATCATTTCTCAACTAATTACCTTTTATCCTTAAGTATAAACTGTTGTCCTTTGATTTTTCTGTCATTTTCTTATCTTGAGGTAAATTGTAAAGCAACTGTAATCTTTAAATTATAATACTGAATAGTTCTTCCTATGCCATTCTAATCTCGTTAAATTACATGCTCAGGCTACCTAACAATTTACTGTGATATCTCAACAATTAGCGAGATTCATCCAATTAAAAAAAACCGTATAATATAATAAATATGATCGAAAACGCCTATAATTTGGAGAACTACTTTTTTGTGAGAGAGCAAAAAAAAAGACAAACAAAAACAAAACAAAACAGGAAAGAAAAGGGAAAAAATAGCGTTTTCCATATGCCACTCCACTCCCTTTTAACTTCATTGATTATAGATACTTTTTAGATACGGGATGGTTACGCTTTTCAAAAAATTCTAAAATATTTTGGGTTTTTTCTCCCATCAACGACCTTTTTATTTTTGTTATTTATTTATTTTATTTATTTTTGATTTTTTCATTGTCATGATTCAAAAGTTGTCAAGCGCCGTTTTGTGGCTGTAGATATTGTAAATTGTCTTGAATCAGTTAAATTAAATACTTTTATTATTATAATTATTTTCTTTGTCAAATGAAGAGATGATCGTCGCAGTGGTAATTGAAATTAAAGCAATTGCAAATTAACCCGAAAAATTTTCGGGACTTCAACGGGATTCGAACCCATTTTATAAACTGATGTCATTTTTTTAATGTACATTGTTAAATAACTGTTAGTTACTGTTAGCTTAACTGTTAGTCAATTATTTGAAATGAAAGTGGAAATGAACCTCCTTTCCACTTTCATATCTTTCTCCCCAGTTCAAAATATGAGTCATTTCATACATTTCCATTCATGTCATTTATTTGTTAATTAATGCTCAGAGTGTGTGGAAAACGAGTGAACGGTCGAGATCTCATAGTAGTTTGATATTTCGTCAAGAAAATATGACATTTTTCGCCTTGATAAACAAGCAGGGTAATTGCCCTAGAAATGAATATCTGTACTGCGGTGTTTTGTAGCCTACAATATACTTAACAACATACAGACTGTAGGGCGTTTCTGATTGGTCGATGAGGAATGCTAACAAGCCTATTTAGTCCAAATAGAGGTAATCGATAGACTAAGACAATTTTTGATCTCTTTTAAAAACACACCTTTTTAAGCAAGCTTTTTTTGCATGAATTCTATATATGAATTTTATCTATATTGTTTTAAAAACGTTTTGTCTGATTTTTATCATTGTATATTGTATTATCATGTTTGTCTTCTAGAAATTTAAATCGATTTTTGTAAGGTGCCATTGGACTTAAGGACTTTGGCGCTATATAAATAATCAGGTATTATATTCGAATTCGCACATAATTCATTTTCATATGAAAATTTTGGGTTTTGGATCTCGGAAATGGATTATCCTCTCCTACTACAAAATATTGAGCGCTGGTTGTGTACCATTTACTCGGGGGAGATGTTTTGGTGTTCGGTTCAATTTTTGAAATAAAAGTAAAACTCTCAAGTGTGCTCTTTGGGATCAATTTTTTCCTCTTCGCCTTTAGATTTTGGGAATGACCCGTGTCCTGCGCAGTCACTGGCAAACTTTCCGAGCTCGGAATCGTTTTTATATTTTTTCCGCCTTCCCTTGCAGCCTTGAAAGAGCGGCCAGCGCAGGCGCAGTAAGAGAAAAGCCACCTGCTCCAGATCACAGGCCAGGTAAGTTGATCTTACGTCACTATGCTCGAAAGACGTTTAACGTCCTTCACGATATCGGGTTGCTAAGGAGCTGGACGCTGTTTGTCTCTTTATTATGCATTTTTCTGGTGAAAGCTAAACTTAAAATAACTTTGACCCGATCACGAGAATTTCACTAACGGGCTGTCCACATGAACTTGGTGCCTGGGTACCGGTACAAAATAGTGTTGTGTTCACAGCTTGAGTACCCGATATGTAACTGTGTATATAGCTACTCCATTTCGCCCTCTCAGGCGCTACTTCGCAAAATTAGCTCAATAGCGGGTGCAGAGAATTGGACTGCCCCAGAATTAAAGGTGTGAAAAAACGGTGTGCAGATAGGGTCCCGTAGCCCATTTTTGTGCACCGTGAGTTTAAGGTCTCAATCTTGTACTCCGGCACCGCCACCGTTCCTGAATAGGCCATTTCCGATTTGTCCCAAGCCTCTGCTTCAAAGCGAGACTAGAGTATATATGTTTAGAGGATATCAATTCCCAGGTACGCGGTGGAAAGAGAAATCAAGGACGGCCTAGGCTAAGATTCAAGGACATCGTGAAAAGAAACCTGAAGCGGAAGAACATTTTAGTAGATAGTTGGAGACGGCCATTTATGGATAGAACGACCTGGAAGAACCTGATGAGAGCTTGAACTCTTCATGAAACAGTCATATTCGCTTCGACAGACTGCTTAACTTAACAAAAACTTAACAAAGATTTTAATTCAGAGGTTGTGTTTTTTCAAATGAACTCCGTAAAACATACAAAAGCGTCACTTATTTAAATTCATCATGGCCCGACTGTTTAACAGACATTTAACAACACAGTGGGGAGGGAGGGGGGGGGGGTGGGTTGGGGGGCGACAGCACAAAGTAATGTTTTTCCTTATTTACAGGGTCGTCTCTTAGCAACCACAGTGTAGCGTACACCTCACGAAGCGCGTCCTGCCAGCCCGTGCGTATGTTCCAAAACGAAGATGTGCGAACTGCAGCGAAGTTAAACCGACCTCCGAGCAAAGTCTATCTATGCCAAGAAGAGCGCGATCGAGCGCGCTCGGCGGGACGACGACCGAAATCTCCAACCAGATTTGATGGAACGCCAGTGGAGTTGCCCGGGTTTATGAAATCAAACTACTTCCTTCATCATGAGGACTTGGACATGGGACAGAAGCAATACATTTGGGGGGTAGCGCGCATTTACTCTGTGACTCAACTTATGAGTCTCAAGCAGAGGCAGTACCAGAGTTTGTTAGATTATGAGTTCGCAAGGAGAATTCAGAATAAGGAGCTCAAGGAACATGAACGAGTTAAAGAATGGAAAGAGTATCAACGGTACTGCAAATTCATTAAAAGATACGATCAGGTAAAGAAAAGTCTTTGTTACAATTTATGAACTTGTTTAGGTGATGTGATCGACCTTCGCGGTTGTGAAGAACCACAAGCAATTCAGGTTGGTCTTTTAAGCCTGGGCCTATTTCATGTCTTAAAGTTGATCAAATAATTTATTGTTCATAGTAAAGACGTTGTCATCAAATGCTTTCCTGGCTTTCACTTAAAGATAATTTTATTTCTTTGGGATAAGCCCTAAGCGATCCTTGCATTATGTAGGTCAAAACAATGGCTTTCCGTCCAAAGCTGTCTGAGAAAATACTCTGCAATTTACACCCCTATACGAGTGGGGGAGCATACCCGCTTCGCAATCCCCCCTTATCCTCAGAAATCATCAGCCTCGTCCCCAGTCCGATTCGCGCTATCCGAGTGAGCGGAGGAGGCTTGGGAACAGGCATGGGTGACCTCATGTTAACTCGCCAGGGATGACTGGCAACAGGGAGCGAAGCTGAGAAATGTTATATTTTTATTTATTTATTTTTTGTCGTCGCGCAGGATTAGCTCAGTCGGTAGAGCGCTTGACTGCAGAGCGGGAGGTCGCGGGTTCGATTCCTTGGGCCGGAGCAATACCAACTAAGAAATGAAGGTACTTCCTTTGCCCGGCAAATGGCTAAACCTTCGCGTGGCTCGGATTACCAATTAAAATGGCGGTCTAGTCTCCAGTAGGAAACGTAAAAGTAGTGTCCCCAATTAATATTTCCCTGCTAAATACATTGACACTCAAGTAAAGTGCTTTTTTTCACAGAGAATTCCTCGGAGCAGATTGAGCAATACGCGATCGCCTTGCGAGGAAGCGTCGCATGTTCACAAACACATGATCAAAGGGTGGACCACAGACCCCAACGCCAATGAAGCTTACAGGCCGTCCAGCCACAAACAGCGCCAGTCATCCCCCGAGTACCACCCCGAGGATACACAAGACACTACGGAACAGCCCTCTGACAGTGAGACTGACGAATACAGGCTCAGGGTGATTATTTTGCCCGGCCAAAGAGAAAAGAGTGGGACCGAAGATAAAACCTTGAAAGGTTAGCTATGGTGTTTTTCTGCTTTTTACGGTAGTTACCAAGAGGCTTGTCTAGTCAGCTGGATCATTCGTTAGGGTCAACGCCTATTCGCTCTTTTAGAAAGGAGAAAGAGACTAGGCCGAATTAGCTTTCGTAAGGACTTCAGGGATCGTTACCGGGGACGCGCCGGTCGAGAGACCTTAAGACACCCCGAAATCGGTGTACGGGTAAAGGGTAGCGCCATGTTTTTTTCATTTTGTGGTGACGTCATCGACCTTACCCGGTACAACCAGCCCTTTTTCCGGGGTAGACACCAGTTTACCCGTAGAAGATTTACGAGTAGTTGCAAGTCCTACATGATGGAGAAACGAGTAAGTTTTTGTATGACTCCTGGGCAATGTTATTGCAAGTCTGTTCAAATATTTTTGCCAAATTTGAATTTTAGCTGTAAAGAAAGCGCTTCAAAATGTATTGATTTTGGACCTCAAATGCGCAGGTTGAACTCTGAAACGATATCAATTTGTGGCGGTATTTGGGAAGATTTCTGAGAATTGCTCGAACGTTTGAGTTTCGCAAAAGAAATAGCTTTGAAAAATTTAGCATGGAAGTCACTGTTGAAGTTGACAATCAAAGGAATTGTTTGGTGATGTGCCTCGATCAGATGGCGGCGTTTGCGATAACAAGCTTTCGGTCGAGGGACTTCCCGCCAAGTTTCTTAAAATCTTTCTATGATATTTCAATAAGCTTATGTATGAATGAATTATTTGTTGCAGCTTGTTGTTAAGATTGAAGTGTAGAATTTGAGGGAGATTTTGTATGCATTAAGCGACATGCATGTACAAAGTTAATTTTGCGTGCTTGGTCTTCGGGTATCTTAATCGAAATAGTCACGCACATGAACATTTTACGTGTAGGGGTACACTACCCGTACCCGTACACCGATATCGGGGTATCCTAAGGTCTCTAATGGCTATATATTTTTTCCTGTCCCCAGTAACAACCCAGCCAATTTCGGATGGGTGAATGCCGGGAAGGTTCTCCAACAGACTGATAAATTTGAAAATTGACACTCTCTTTGAGGCCCAGTCACGAGTGAAATCTGCCGATTTAAGAATAAACCGATGATGCAGAATGGTTTGAAGCGGTCGCTTTATTTCATTTTTTTCATCCGCTACTTAAGGAACGAGAATGGGACTGGAGCCAAAATGGGTCTCGCAATTGTTTCTGGGATAGTTCCTTGGGACCCGCTAATCAGCTATTGGCCAATTTTTCCCTGTCTCTGATATCAGTCCCAGAAGTTTTTGCGAAAGCTAATTCGTCCCATTCGTGGCGATTGAAAGGAAGTAATGGTGGCACAGTTGTAAGAGTACCGCCTTCTACCAATGTGCATGGCCCGGGTGCGCGAATCTCAGAGGCGACGACATATGTAGGTTGAGTTTGTTGTTGGTTCTCTCCCTTGCTCCGAGAGGTTTTTCTCCTGGTACTCCGGTTTTCCCCTCTCCTCAAAAGACAGGTTTTTCAAATTCCAATTCGAATGGTAAACTCACAGCGACTCTGTGAAGTGCACCACTAAACCCTTATTTATTTATTGTTTTATTGATTGATTTATTGATTTATCTATTGATTTATCTATCTGTTTATCTATTTATCTATTTGTGAACTGAACAAAGCGTTGCTGTCCCTGTTGGTGCTCTCAAACACCCAAATAATCAGCAGCAAATTATTCCGTCGTGTATGTGGTATCGTGCACATTCCCCCTCAAAAGTAGGTTAGTATATAAGAAAGGTGTCGCTTGAGTCTCATAGTTCCCGTTTTAATTTTAGAATCAGCAGAAAATGAACCAAAAACTATGGCAGACGAGGAAGACAAATCAATTCATAAAGAAATAAACCACAAAAATGTAGAGGAGAACGATGTTGCCACTGATTCTTACGTCGAGAAAGGTATAAGGACGCTGCTGATATAGATATTGCCCGCGAGCAAGTTCGCCATCTGTGGGATATCGTAAAAAGTCACCCACGAGCGGCACGCGAGAGAAGACGCGAGAGGGGCGCGTTCTCGCGAGGCTTATTTCGCTCGACACTCGAGATGGAGAGCT